GACGGAGGGCTGTGCCCCCAGCAGCCCAGGACTGGGGTGGAGGGGACGGAGGGCTGTGCCCCCAGCAGCCCAGGACTGGGGTGGAGGGGACGGAGGGCTGTGCCCCCAGCAGCCCAGGACTGGGGTGGAGGGGACGGAGGGCTGTGCCCCCAGCAGCCCAGGACTGGGGTGGAGGGGACGGAGGGCTGTGCCCCCAGCAGCCCAGGACTGGGGTGGAGGGGACGGAGGGCTGTGCCCCCAGCAGCCCAGGACTGGGGTGGAGGAGACGCTCACAAACACCTAGTGGTGGACAGAGGAAGGACGAGCCCAGATGCTGCAGAGGGGCGGGTGGGGAGAGGGCTGGCAATGGTGGGGGTGGGGGTGCTTAACCTGGGTAGCCAGCATGCAGGAAAGGTAGTCTTAAAGCAGGGGCAGGACCCAGGACCCCTCTGAGAGCTCCTGCCCACATGTTAAACCGGAATCCATGTTCCAGGAAGCATCAAGGAGCCCAAATTGAGTGATGTTCCCCAAAACACCTGACCCGGAGTCCACAGAAATGTCAGCATCGCGCCAGCTACCGGTAGCAGGTGGCCCCGGGCTGGATTCTGGGCCAGGAGAAAACTGTTTCCTTATTTACTAAAATGAGATTATTGGGCCAGAGTGTGCGATCTGAATACAGTGTGTAGATTAGATAACAGAACACAGTAATGTGTAACTGTCAATCATTTGACTTGCTGTTTGTTCTGTGTCTGTGTAAGAGGCTGGTCCTGTGCTGAGGAAACACACGGAATATTTGGGTAAAAGGGCACGGGCATGCAACTTGCTCAGAAAATAAAGTACATGTACGGAAAGAAAGAGAGAACGGTAAAGCAAGCAATAAAATGTTAACAATTTAGCCCTAGCCGGTTTGGCTCAGTGGATAAAGCCTCGGCCTGGGGACTGAAGGGTCCCGGGTTCGACTCCGGTCAAGGGCACATGCCCGGGTTGGGGGCTCGATCCCCAGTAAGGGGCGTACAGAAGGCAGCCAATCAATGATTCTCTCTCATCATGGATGTGTCTATCTCTCTCTCCCTCTCCCTTCCTCCCTGAAATCAATAAAAAATATATATTAAAAAAACAATTTAAAAAAACCAACCAATCGGGAAATGTGGGTTTAAAAAAAACCAACCAATTGGGTAATGTGGGTGAAGGAGTTCTTGTATTATTTCTGTGCAAACTGAAATGCTTTCAAGATAAAAAGTTACAAAATAGAAAGAAAGAAAAGTCAATATCCTGGGGGGGAAAGCAAGAGCGAGGCTGGAGAGCAGTTCGGATTCAAGGAGACTAAACAGACTCAGGCGGGAATTGCAGTGTGTCCCGGCCCCGTGACATTAGTGGGGCCACTGGGGAAGCGCGTGTGGAGAGGGGGGTGCTGGGTGCCAGCGCGGCATCTGTAATTCCCTGGGTGTGGTGGTCACACGAGGGTTTTCAGGACGATGTCCTTGCTCCTCTGCGGTGTACCCTGGGTTTGGGGCTAAGGGTCAAGATGTCTGTAACCCTTTCTGTGGTTCAGCAAAAATACATTTATAGGAAAGAGAGAAAGCCATGCACTCTAAAGGGGGGGATCACAAGGGGGTCCATGCTATTTTTCTCAAGGACACACACCTCCCACCCCTGCAGCCACAGGCAGTGAAGGGCTCTGGGGTGGGTGAGGCCACCCCAGCCTCTGCATCCCCTCCCCACCTCTTAGCGTTTCTCTCTCTGGCCACAAGATGTCTCCATGGGCCCTACTAGACGGTGGTTTTCATTTGTTAAAGTTTCTTAACGTTTCTAAGATGTGAATTAAACCATCGCCCTGTCTCTCTGACCTGCTGCTCTCTCCCCTGGTGTGTGTGCTCTGATGTGCTTCCCCTGATGTTTTCTGGGGGCTCGCCCAGCCCACTTCCTGTCCCCGCATGGCATCCCCATGAGAAGGTCTCTGCTGCCCTCTGGTGGCCACTGCCTGGAACTCAGACCCCACCCTCCTTGAGGGGCAGAAACCTGAAAGGCTTGGCAGCTTCTCCTCATCAGCCACAGGAAGATGTTTCCCTTAAGGAACTGGCTCAAGTGATCGTGGGGGCCGGCAGGTGTGAAGCCCAAAGGGCGGCTAGAGCCAGGCAAGAGCCAGCAGGCAGTCTGGAGGCAGAAGTTCTCCCTCCCAGGGAACCTGGGTTTTGCTCCTGTGGTTGTCCAGTGATGGGACGAGGCTCACCCCATTACAGGGTCATCGCCTCTACTTAAAGTCGGCCGACTGTAGGTGTGACCACGTCCACCAGATACCGTCACAGAAAAGTATGCTTTCCTGCTGATTTCCGACTCCTACTTTGCTAAGAAAAGGAGTCCACTGTGGCTTCTGAGTGTGTGAGGATGGAATGAGTAAACAGCCAGCAGGGCTCTGAGTGCAGCTGTCACAGGGCTGGCCTGGAGATGTTAGTTATTATTGTTATTACTAGAGGCCTGGTGCATGCATTTGTGCACCGGTGGGGTCCCTCGGGGGATGTCAGACTGCTGGTTTCAGCCCGATCCCCGCAGGCCAGGCCGAGGGACCCCACCTCATGCATATGCATCCTTATGTGCATTTAGGCCTCTAGTAGGCATATAAGATCTTTGGTTAATCTCTCCCCTTTCCCTCTGAGATACATCAGTCTGTTCCATGTTTCCATGCCTCTGTGTTGAGCGTCTGCCCCCTGTTGGTCAGTGCGCATCATAGCTACCGGTTGAACAGTAAAATGGTCGCTTAGGCTTTTATATAGATAGATGGTGAGAATTACCTGCATGAGTCGATAATTAAGTTAGAGGAAGAGAGACAGGGAGGTCTCTCTTTGAGGTAAAATGTAGATACATGGAAATGTACAAATATTACAATTAGTAAAATGTATTGTATTTAATTAGTACAATTTTATATGTGCTGTTATATTTTCTCCTTTTTGTGTTTTCTCTGTTTTCTTTCTTTTCTAATAAGGAACAGATAGTTTTTATAATAAGGGGGAAAACAATAAAATGATGATACAATTAAGATGCTCCTTTGGGCGGAGGCCCTGTCCCCTCCATTGTGCCACAGGCCTGGAGACTCCCCGACCTCCTCTGTGCTTTCCCACACGCCGTCCTGAGTAACCAGGCCTCCTAGGACCCTGCCTGCCTTTCCCAGGCCCCGGGGAAGGCCTGTGGCCTCCTGGAAGGAAGCGGGCCTCAGCACACAGGACCCACAAACACAGCTGGGCCCAGGGCTGAGTCCACCTCCTGGGGACCCAGGACACTGCCCTGTTCCACCTGCAGGGGGAGAGAGGGGGCCTCTCTGGGACTCCCCTGACCAATGCAAGGCTGGGCAGGCCCTCCTAACCCACTGGGAGAGGCTGGCCTGGGGAGGGGTTGTCAGGCAACCAGCCCAGTCTCCTCCCAGGGCAGCTGTGAGTGGCCCCGTTGCCCAGCAACCAGGTGGCAGCGTCCCCTGAGCCAGGATCGTGCAGCTGCGCCCAGCCCTGCCCTACCCTGCTTCTCACGGGCCTGCAGGACCCCTGGGGCCCTGTGCTTATTCCCCAAGACTGGGACAGCTGGGGCCTCTGGTCACAATGAACATTGTTCTCTTCAGGTAAGTGGCTCTGTACTGGTGCTGGCCCTGGCCGGGAGGTGGGGTGGGGGGGAGGCTGGGTTTTCAGGACCCCATGCATGCAGACAGATGGTGCAGCTGGGATTGCTCAATGGGGATGGATCAGGGAGGTGGGGAGTAATGAGAGTGAGCTTTCTTCTGCACCCCACTCACCTCAAGGTCAAAAGAAAGTGTCCAGAATATTGCCTCTGTCCACTTCTCCAGCATTACTGCCCACAGGTCTGAGGAAGCCAATTCACAGGGCCCACCCCCAACTTCCCTCGCTCACCTCCACCTGGTGAGCCTTAAAGCCCGCCAGGCCTCACCCTTCTGTGGGAATGCCCCGACCCCACTCCAGGCCTGATTCTATCACTGCTCTCTCACAGCTCGCCGGCCCCTTAGCCCGTTGTTTCCACGCCTGCTTCCTCGGAGGGTCCCAAACCCGAGGGTGTCTCTGAATCACCCGATGTACTTTTTAAAAAATGCAGCTCCCTGGGCCTCCCTCGCAGGGATTCTGGTGCACAGATCAGGGCTGGGGGCCTGGGGAACTGCATGCTTAGCTTGTGCCTCAGGTGATTCTGATGGCGGGCGAGGACGCCACCTGCAGAAGCTGATACTGCAGGCAGCTGTGTGACGTGGAGCAAGACGCTCCACCTCTCTGGGCCTCAGTTTACTCGTTTATTAAAAACGGTGATAGTGTTAGTGCCTGGCTTACGAGTAATGCATACGAAGTGTTTTGCAAACTATCAAGTGGTGCACGAGTTAGGGCTTGTTAGACGGAGGACAAGGGGCCCTCACAGTTTCCAGCTTTAGGGGTGTGATTGGAGGGTTGCACAGGGGACTTCGGTCCACTGGAGAGAGGCAGCGGGGTCCTGGGGACAGGGGCTCAGAGTTGGGGCGCGGCCCGGGTGGGAGGTGAGTGCCCGGGGTGTTTAGGGGAGACTAAATTCAGTGGGGCTGGGGGCTGAGGGGGGAGGATGAGCGGACGGAGCGGCTTTTCAGGGCAGGGGAACTGCGCTGTGACACTGTGACGGTGGATATGGGCAGCAGGCATTTGTCGAAACCCATAGGACGTACAAACAGCATGTGAACCACGAGCCCTAATGTAAACTATGGCTTTTAGTTAATAACGTATCACTATTGGCTCATCTTTTGTAACAAACGTCCCCCAGTAATGCACGATGTACTAATGCAGCGGTTCTCAACCTGTGGGTCGCGACCCCTTTGGGGGTCGAACAACCCTTTCACAGGGGTCGCCTAAGACCATCGGAAAACACATATATAATTACATATTGTTTTTGTGATTAATCACTATGCTTTAATTACGTTCAATTTGTAACAATGAAATTGGGGGTCACCACAACATGAGGAACTGTATTAAAGGGTCGCGGCATTAGGAAGGTCGGGAACCACTGTACTAATGGAAAGTGTGTGTGCGCAGGGAGAGGGTACCGGGACCTCACTGTACTTTCCACTGTGAACCTAAAACTGGTCTCCCTGAAAGTCCATCCATTTAAACATAAAGCTTCAGTATGTTTAACATAAAGGTTTAGAGAAGGAGAATTTCAACAACTTGGGGATAAAACAGAAAAGAGGGAATTTCAGGAGGAGACCGAGGCGGCCAGGGAATAAAGAACAACTCTGCCAGGGGGACAAAAGCCCCTAAAGGGTTGCAGGGCAGGCACTTGGAGCCGAACCGGAGCTGGCGCTCCTGCCTGGCCACTGGCCAGCTCTGTGACCCAGCGGGGCTCCCGCATCTGCCTCGATGGGCTGACACCTGACCTTGAGCGCTGCCCCAGGGACAGACGCCTGCCAGGGCGCTTGCCACTAGGACGAAGGTGATGGTGGGGAGCCTGTGTCCTGCCCAGACGCCCCCTCAGGCCCCCACCTCCTCAGGGACAGCCAGGTGAGGGCGATGGAGAGCACAGTGACCAACGCCGAGAAGTACTTCGGCCGGTTCTGCTCGCTGCTGGCCGCCTACACCCGGAAGACAGCCCGGCTGCGGGACAAGGCCGACCAGCTGGTCAAGCAGCTCATTGACTTCGCCAACACGGAGAACCCCGAGATGCGGGCCACCATGAGGAACTTCGCCGAGGAGTTGGCCAAAGTGCAGGACTACCGGCAGGCCCAGGTGAGGCAGGCCCAGCGGGGGGAGGCTGGGGGGGGGCAGGTTCAGGGGGAGCAGGCCCAGGGGGTGTAGGCCCAGGTGAGTGGGCTGCAGAGGCCCCAGGGCCAGAGTGAGGGCAGGGTCAGAGGGTGGGGGTAGCCCTGCAGGGGCCACAGCCAGGGACATCTCCTCACTGGGTGTGGGGGGCCACACCTCCGTTTACAGGGCTAAGAACAGGAGGCTTTTGGGGGCTGGATGAGCGGTGGACAAGGCCAGAAGGCCCAGGAGGCCGGTCCTGAGTCCTGCCGCTCTGGGCTCCTGATTCGCAGGCAGGAGGCGCATCCCAGGGTCCAGGGGGCCTGGAGAAGGGACAGACAGCCTGGGGGCTGAGGCCAAGGAGACTGCAGCATATTAAGAAAATAATTAAAAATAAAAATCTCCTACCAACCCCCAAAACTTCTCTCCGTGATTACAGAAAAGAACAAAGCAGCTTTTCTACTAAATGAGCATTAAACCAGACATGCACAGCACAGGGGATCGGATCAGTGATGGGAAGACAGACAGAACCTCAGCCCGTGCAGCCAGGCAGCGGGGCCTGCCCAGGCGCGATCCGGGTTCTCCGGGAGGGATACCTGGTCCTGGGCGAGGGCGCTCAGCACCTTTGTCACACAGGGTTTCCTGGTTGCACCTGGGGGTTGGGGGGCACCTGTGCCAGCTGATGGTCTTTACCCAAAGGGAAGTCTCCCGTTTCATGACAAGCAGGGGGTCACCGCTTGGAGCGGGTACCAGAGCCGAACTCGGAGAGGATGTCTCCATTTCAAAGACAAGACTGCCTTCTGGGTCACAAAACCCACAAGAGGCCTCTTTAGCTTTGACAAAGGGTTAGATGCATCTTAAAGGGATAGAGAACCAATTCTCAATGGCAGGTTTCCTAAAGAAATGCTTTCAGGACAGGGAAGGGAAGTCCCCTTCCCTGTTGGCTGTGGAAATGGTTTCTTAGATTTGTGTTTATCCTCACGGGGTCACAAGCCTCAGTGAAGGCGAGGAAGGGCCCTGTGGGGAGGGCAGCTCCCCTGGCCCGTGGGGAGCCAGGTGCGCAGGGAGCCCATCCTCAAGGCAGCAGCCTCCCTGGAAACGTGTTAGAAATGCAGGTTCCCAGGCCACCCCTGGACCTGCTGAGTCGGAATCTCTGGGGTGGCGCCTGGCAATCAAGGTTCTCAGGAACCCGTGGGGGCATCCGAGGCCTACTCTAGGGTGCCATGTCTTGATTCTGAGCAATGCTGGGCACAGGGTAAGCACTGAACGTCAGCTTTAATTGTGATTGTCACCATTGCTGATATTGTTTATTAAAGTGTCTAGTATTAGGCTGGACTCAGGGGTGTGAGGCGTCCCCTTCGCTGACGCTGCTGTGTTCTAGGGTCAGCTCTGCATCCCAAATGAGATCCTAAGGCAGGTCCCATTCCTGTATCCATCCCTGGTGGGTACCGTCATTATACCCATTTTACAGGCATGGAAATGAGGCTCAGCAAGATGAAATGTATTGCCCAAGCCCTAGAGAAGCAGAGCCCTGAACCCAGGCTGTTGGTCGCAGCCCTAGGGTGAGGGAGGGCACCCGTGCTCCCCTGCCCCCTGCAGACCCACCTGCAGCTCTGTGTGTGTGACGACACTATGCATGGGGGCCAGGGGCGGCATCGTCTCCTGGCATCTCCCTGGCTCCGTCCACTCTGATTCTCTGTGTGTCTGTGCTCCCCAGGTTGAGAGGCTGGAGACCAAGGTGGTCACCCCCCTGAAACTCTATGGGCCTCAGATAAAGCAGACGCGGGTGAGTGAGGGCGCCGCCCTGCTGGGTGCGAAGTGTCTGGGCTGGCTGAGCCAGAGCCCCAAGAAACAGCTCTCCTTCTTCCTTTAGGCCGAAATCAAGAAATGCAAACATATACGGAATAATGAGATCAAACAACTGGAAAAGTTGGAGAAACTGAGGCAGAAGTCACCTTCGGATAGGCAAATGATCGTATCCTCCCCTGGTGTCCGGCCTGGGGCCTCGGGGCCTCGGGGCCAGGATTACCGTTTGTCATGGGCGCCCTCTGGTGGGCGCTGCTGGTTAGCCTGTCTCCTTAACATCACTCTCAGTCCCAGGTGAGAGTCACAGGTCTGTCTGGGGAAGGTAGATCGCATGCAGGTAATGAAAGACCTCACACAACGGCGAGGTGAGCTCTTCCCTGGGCAGGTGTGTGCCGGGTTCAGGATAGGAAAGTCAGGGGCCGGGGGGAGCCTGGGGGCCAGGAGCCCTGGGGTCCGTCCCACCACTGACACGAAGCAGCCGCTCAGCAATCACCCCCTTCTCAGGTCACCTATTTAGCACTCACTCGGTAGGCACTTCCAGATGAGGAAACCGGGCTCAGCAAGGTGACTTCCCCAAGGTCACCAGGAACGAACGGGGCAAACCTAAACTCAGTTGAGGGCCCTCTAAAACCCAGGCTGCGCCTGTGCGAAGTGGGGTCATACAGGGGTCAATCAAAGGAACCCAGGAATTAGTTAATTACCTTGGGGATGTTCCACATGCAGGAATTAATTATTCTCCATGTGGAGCACCTGTGATGACAATAGCTCAGCGGGTGCCCACTGCTTAATTCTTACAACAGCCCTGGGAAGTCGGTCTCATCGCTGTGCCCTGCTCACAGGCAAGGACACGGAGACTGAGAGAGGTTGAGTGACTTGCAGGAGGTCACGCAGGCAGCCAGTGAATCTGGCTAAGCAGCGCCTGCCCCTTTAGCCATGGTCCCACTCGGCCAGTTCCTCGATGACCAACTTGTCTAGGGACCCCTGAGGCGGGAGAGCTGGCCTACCAGCAGGGCGAGAGGATCCAGACGGAAGCTCCCTGACACCGTCTCTCGGCAGGCAGAGACCAGCGTGCAGAAGGCCTCGGTGGACGCCAGCCGCACCACCCACCAGCTGGAGGAGACAGTCGACGCCTTCCAGACGCAGAAGCTGAAGGACCTGCAGGTGGGGCGGGCTGCCTTGTTTGTGCTGCGAGCGTGCGCACGTGTGTGTATGTGTATGTGTATGTGTGTGTGTGTGTGTGTGTGTGTGTACCTAGAGAGTGTGCGCATGTGTGAGTGTGTGTTAGCTTGTGCCCACTCAGCTCCCGGCACAGTTAATCCCAGCCTAATCCTGGCCTCGGGGCAGGAGGCCGGCTGCTCTGGGCAGCTGTCCCTCACAGCTGGCCTGCTCAGTAGCCAACATTCCACAGCCCTGCCCCTCAACACCCAGGCCCAGCTCCCCACCAGGAGAACTTGGCAGAGTGTGTCACCCCCAAACCCCTTTCTTTCCACACAAGGACCCACAGGACTTGCCCTGACTTCCTCCTTTTCTCCACGAAGTTCTAAATGCCTTCCTCCTTCCGCCCTGATGCCACCCCAGTGCAGCCCAGGACCGTGGACCCAGAGCCCAGCTCTTACATCAGGGCCTCCGGGCATTGGGGTCTGAAGGACAAGCTGATCACACAGGCCCCTGCATTCACTTAACCCCCCCTCTAGTCCATTTTCCAAACTAGCCTCGAGGATCTCACCAAAGGCAGCCCCAATCTGTCACCCTCCTGTGACTCCCCTGGTTCCAAGGAGAAAGGCCTAGATCCTCCCCAAGGCTGCAGAAGCCCCAGCCCCGCCCCCAAGCTTCATCATAGACATTCCATTCCAAGTTCAAGTGCACCTGGCCCCTTAGTACCACAGCTTTGCACAGGCTCCGCCCACTGCCAAGAAGGCCTTTGACTCTCAGGGAAAGTTGCCTGGACTCCCAGACCAGTCCAGCCCCATTCTATTTTTTAAAATATATTTATATTGATTTCCGAAAGGAAGGAAGAGGGAGAGAAAGAGAAACATCACTGGTAAGAGAGAATCATTGATCGCCGGCCTCCTACACTCCCCCTACTGGGGATCGAGCCCAAAACCCAGGCATGTGCCCTGACCAGGAATCGAATGTAACCCCCTGGTTGGTGTAACCACTGAACCACGCTGGCCAGGTTCCAGCCTCCCTACTGGGGATGTGCCCGCAACCAAGGTACATGCCCTTGACAGGAATCGAACCTGGGACCCTTGAGTCCACAGGCCGACGCTCTAACAGCCTCTTTCTTAATACACTCTGGTCTGCTCCCTCTGGGGGCAGTTAGCCCAGGAACAGATTAATTATATCTTTAGTTTACTCCTTAATCTAACAAATGTTCAGTACACACCTACTATGTGCCAGGTGCTATGCCTGAGGCTGGGGACACCACAGCCAGAAAAGCAAGGCCCCTGTCCTCATGGGGTTGACATCCTGCCCCACCACAGGCCCCCCATGCCGCATGCCATTCATCGGGGAGGGGAGAGTGTGGTGGAGAACTTGCTGCCCCATGCCTGCCTCCCACACCACATGTCCACAGGGCAGACCCCCCGCCTGGCGTGTGACCTGCTGGGTCCTGGAAGGTACTCAGTAAATGTTTGGGAAATGAGTAAATAAACAAATGAGCCAACAGTGGTAGTTAGTGCTCAGGCATGTACGTTGCAGGTAGGACTTAAGCCACCAGCTGGCCACTATTAAGCACCTGATGTTTGCGGCCTGAAAACAGGGCTCTGTAAGGCGCCAGCGAGAGCATGAGATTCTCAGCCTCCCTCCCTGGTCAGGGGCCACCCCAAGCTGCAGTTTAAAGTGCGCATCCTTTAAACTTCCGGGGTCAAGTTGGTAAGGGACACTTAACCAAGCCACCCCCCAGAAGCCCTCCAAATTTTTTTTAAAATCATTCTTTTTTTTTAATTGATTTTTTACAGAGAGGAAGGGAGAGGAATAGAGAGTTAGAAACATCGATGAGAGAGAAACATCGATCAGCTGCCTCTTGCACACCCCCTACTGGGGATGTCCCCGCAACCAAGGTACATGCCCTTGACTGGAATTGAACCCAGAACTCTTCAGTCCGCAGGCCAAACCGGTTAGGGCAGCCCTCCAAATTTTAAGAGATAAACACCCAGAACTTGAAATAATGATGACCACCATGTTGGTTTTAGGTCACACTTCTAATAAAATGATCAGATTTCCTCTCCAGCCCCCCTAAAAGAATGTCAGTAACACTTTCATACAGGGGTTCCCATACCTGAGGATGCGTCCGAAGTCACCTGGTGGGCTCCTGACACTGCAGAGCAGCAGCCTGGCCTGGGTTCCACTCCGTGGGGCTGGATGGGCTGGAGAACTGGCATTTCTGACAAGCTCCCGGATGGGGCTGGTGCTAATGCCAGGAGCAGACTGAGAGCTAATTGAATCCTCGTGGGGCTCTGTGAACAGGACTGCCCTGTCCCTACGGTGCAGAAAAATAAACTGAGGCTGGAGAGGATGTCATTCCCTAGGCCCCAGGCAGGATGAGGCTGCGACCCGCCTCTTGATTCTCAGCTGCCATCACCAGCCTGCCTGCCAGGGGCAGGAGGGGAGGAGGCAGGTAATCCCACCAGCCTTGGGACACTCTCCTCATCATCTCCCAGGCTGCCTTGCGGGCTTCCTCTGGCCTGCCTCTCCCAGGTGCTTCCCATGTTACCTGAAGTGGTGTGTTTCCAAACTTCAGGCTCCTTCCCTGACACCAAGCCTGTGTCCTGCTAGGGCCCTGCACACAGTAGGAGCTTGTGGTAGGCCCCAAGCACAAAGGAGCCTCTGCTGGGGCCTGACACACAGTAGGAGTCTCCTCTCCGGCCTGGCACACAGTAGGAGCTTGTACTAGGCACTGCACACAGTGGGAGCCTCCACTGGAGCCAAACAGGCAGTAGGAACTCTAAAAGAGCTTACTGAGACAAGCTGAACCTTTTGATCAAGAGAAGCCAATATCTAATTACATTTAATGTGGTAACTCGTCAGGTTGTGGAGCCTCTGGGCTGAGCCATGTCTGCCAGCAACACCCCTCCCTCTCGCGGAAGACCCCCTCACAGCCCATGGGTGGCAGAGGCTGAAGGTTTGTGGGCATCAACCTTAAAAGCCGAGCGAATGAGCCCAGGGTGCAGAGCTGAGGAAAGAACGCCCCTCAGCAAGTCCTCACTGAGAAAGGAGGCCTCAGCATTTCTGGAATAAGCTCTGTGCACGGCAGCTTTTGAATGGGAATGCACTGTCTGTTCGAATAAATTAAAAATAACATTGACCCAGGACCCATCCCCATAAAGACGGCTGATGCCTCCTCGCCCCCCAGGTTGTCCACATGCGAGGTGACCCCGGGCTCCCCTTTGGACAGTGTTGCTTATGCGATTCGCACTTCCCTCCCCACAGAAAATTTTTTCGGACTTCGTGACCATTGAGATGGTCTTCCACGCCAAAGCGGTGGAGGTGTATTCCAGCGCCTTCCAGACGCTGGAGAACTACGACCTGGAGGGGGATCTGCAGGTGCGTCCCAGGTGCCCGCTTCTGGCTGGTGGCCTGGGCTGAATTCGATTTGGGTTCTGTCTTGATAGAAGCTGTTTTTGTTGGCAACGTTTTGTAATTTTTATCGTTTGAAAGACTCATTCTGATGAACTGTTGTAAACACCTGCCCCTGGGTCCCAGTTTAAAAACAAGCAAATGAATCAACAATGACAACAAGCCCCTCCAGGCCGATGCGCGCTGCTGTCTGGGTGTTCACCAGGTGCTGGCTACCCGTCTGAGCTGACGGAGATCGCGCCTCCTCTGTGGCCTATGACAACGGCCACTCCCCGGGGTGTAAATACAGTCACTTGTTCTGGTCCCTGGTGGCTCTGGGGTTGGTGAGCGCCGCTGGGTGGTCCTCACTTGGGCCTGTGGTCAGTTTTCAATCAGGCGTAGTGGGGTTGGATCCCTGTCCAAGGCTGGCTCGCCCACATCTGGCAGCTGATGGCTGTCATCTGGGCACAGGACAGGCCACGGGAGTTGCAGAGCTCAGTGCAAAATGAAAACGTGGGCCATGCTGTCCAACAGTTACTAAGAGTTTTCCGACGGCAACAGTGGGTTCCTTCTGAGCACAGGGCCCTGGACAACTGCAGGAGCCACACACACGAAGCCCTCCCTATCTGGGTCCTGGGTGGGTCCCAGAGCCCAAAGACCTGCCCGTGGCCTCTCTGGGTGACGTGGGCCTCCTCACAGCATGGCGGCTGGTCCAGGAGCCAGTGTCCGTCCCGGGACCGAGCCAGGAGGAAACTCTCACCTTTGGTGACCGAACCTTAGAAGTAACTTGGTGTCACTTCTCCTGCATTCTGTTTAGAAGTGAGTCACTCAGGCCACATTCAAGGGGAGGAGGATTGCATTCCAGCTCCTAGTGGGAGACATGTCAACGAATGTGTAGAGGCTTTAAAACCACCACATGAGGTTAGAAGCAGATCGGACGGGCTCTCCTGCACTCACTCATCCCTGTGATACTCCTGTGGCGGGAGAGTGATCTCTAATATTCCTGTGTGAATCTGGACATGTACTAGCCTCTGGGCCTCAGTTTCCCCATCTGTAAAATGGGGTGAGAACGCCCACTTTGAGGGTTGTTGTAGGTGGCGTAGAATACTGAACAGGAGGTTCCCAGAGAGGTCGGTGCGGGTGGGGGCTCCGGCGGTGTTAGCAGTGCCCCACCATCTTCCCACTCTCACCCCCAATCTTTGTTTCCCCGTTGGATCTAACCCACCCTGAGTCTCTCCGTGGCAGGATTTTAGAGCCAAGATGCGCGGAGTTACTGGGTACAATGATGCCCGGCCCCGCAGGGACACCGCTCCCTCCGCAGCTGTTCCGTGGTCTCGCCCCTGCCAGGTGAGCACGGG